GAATTCGCATCTTAGCTGGCGGTAGTGGTTTTTCTCCGAAATTTCGACCAACTGCAGTATATTTTAAAAAAGGCACTTTCTGCGAGTGGGAAAATTGCCGTGCAGGCTGTCGAAAGGGAGAAGTTCCTGTCAGGCAGATCATGCTGGCCGATATGCTCTCTCCGTTGTGTGATCATTCGTTGGCGCTAGTACCGATTTTGACGTCTACAGCTTTTTCACGGTGTCTTGCGAGCGTTCACTCGCACTCGTTTTCTTGCTAGATTGTGGAAGAACCGTTAGTTGACCTTTTCCCGATCATATTCGGTTTTAGGCCGTTTTCATGTAGTTTTAGGAAACGCGAAATTTTGACTCGTCAATCAAACACTTATCCGTCTGGACCAACACTCCGGACTGCAGGTTTCTTCAACAGTTTCTATGTTCCCAGATGCAATTTGTTGGTCAAGTAGAAACTTCCCAGTGGGTAACGGCCTATTTCTGGGGAGCACCGAAAGTGGCCAACACAAGGAATCGGCGAATTGCTCCGGTTCTACAAATGTGCGCGAGAATGGAGGTTTCGTGTCGGATTGCCTTAAGATGCCCACTGCTCTACGCATGTTTACGCTTATGTCCCTGTTTCCAGCGTGTGTGCTCTTACGTCATCTAGTCAATGCTATTACGTCCTCTACTGCAGACTTGCTATCTCCGCAATTTATACAGAAATTCTAAAAGTTCTTTAAGAGTAAACGCTTACTTGAGTGGGATTGTATGGCTTATAAGTGTGCAGCACATCTCCCAAGTACAGTAGATTCCCTATCTCATGAAATGCCACCCGGAATTCTGAAATGCGTTTTCGATTCAAACATAGTTATTACGTATGGTTGTAATAATGACAATCGTACAGCCTAATCTCAATATATTTTAGTCCCGTCAGGATGCCGACTTTTTAACGAGCTTATTTCTGACTGCCAATAAAACTTATGTACTGTAAGAAGTGACAACTTAAGTAGTATGCATTTTCATTATGGATTTTGACTGCGTTTATAAATTCTAATATATTCTATGGAAAACATGCACGAAAAAATTATTTCTTGCAGTCGTTTGGTAGTAAATTGCGCTTTCTTTAAATTCTATACTTAAAGAAGGATAATCTTGCTGCTTTAAAAAAGTTTCTAATTATGAGCTTTTTTACGATTGTGAGGTGGTTATTCATTATATATCACATCCGTCAATTCATTAATGCCGCCTATAATTTGTACAGCAATTTCCACATATATGGCAATAATTTATTAGAATTGTGTGACTCCTTACTCAAGCTGCAGGCAAAAACGTACTTTTCCTTAAACAGGATGTGCACAGCGCTCAGTTTGTAAACCTTGAATTCAAGTGTAGCCGTCCGTAGGTTTCAAAATTATTCAGCAATTCAGAAACTTTTTAAAAACCGAAAGATACTCGTTCTTTAAGTATAAAATTTAAAGAAAGCGCAATTTACTACCAAACGACTGCAAGAAATAATTTTTTCGTGCATGTTTTCCATTGAATATATTCAAATTTATAAAGACAGGCAAAGCCAATGATGAAAATGCATACTACTTAAGTTGCCACTTTTTACAGTACAAAAGTTTTATTAGCTGTCAGAAATAAGCTCGTTAAAACGTCGGCATCCTGACGGGACTAAAATATATTGAGATTAGGCTGTACGATTGTCATTAATACAACCATACGTAATAACTATGTTTGAATCGAAGACGCATTTCAGAATTCCGGGTGGCATTTCACGAGATAGGGAAGCTACTGTAGTTCAGTCACATCGGTTGGCGGCCTTTAGACTGAGCTTACTTCCGCTCACCAACAGAAATCTTTATCAGTAAAAACAGATTCCTTAAGTAGTACGAACATTTCTCTTTTATTTGCAATGCCCCTATAAGTGTTCATCTATCTCATAAGAGCATACGCAAAAATATTCTTATTTGCACTCACTTGGTAATAACTATCTTCCACTTCAAACCTTATACAAGACAAGACAATATATCAGAAGTAGAAGGTACGATCGCTGTGACAAGAAGTGTATTTGTCTGACGCTTCGGAGTCCGTCGGGAAGCCTTACCGAGGGGTAACCGCAGAAAAGGGTGATATATGCACAGAAAACGCAGTATTTATAGTTCGTTGTTGCCGCGCGACCGCACACACACTTTAATTAGCAGCTCCCGTAATCACCACTGGAGATCGTAATCGGTTCTTTAATGGCTTGGCAGTTCGCTTTGCGTGCTGCGATTTCGTCCTCCGTGTTGGATGTGGGCTTGATAATTTCGCGAAAATTATGTTAGCTGTCATCGCAGTTGTTTGTTGTTGGGCCCGCCCTTTCCCGAATGCCTGATTTTCCTGCCCAGACAAAATCTCAGACCACGGAATATGGAAACGGCAGTCAGTTCGCTTGTTGATTGACTGAGAATCATGACTCGAGCACCTCTTGCGAGAATTGCGGCTTCGTTAAACTTGGGTCCCGGGTCCCGTCGAGTGAGTTGCGACCTGGGAGTTTACGTCTTTCCTCCTTACCGCGCACTCGACCATCCGCATCCGGAGGAAATCTTCCGGTTTCTCCAAAACTGCACCAGATCTGATAAACGATTCTAGCCGTTTCTTGCCATGACAGTGGGTCTTTCGGCCTCATGACCCGGCGCCCTTGCGGTGATTACGGGAGCTGTTAATTATAGTACGCATGCGGTCGCGTGGCCACTACGAACTATAAACACTGCGTTATCTGTGCATGTACCACCCCTAATCTCTGTATGTGTTACCCTATTCTGAGTTTATCCCTGATGAGGGGTTCAATACAGAATCCAAAACGTCAGACAAATATACTCCTTGTTACAGCGATTGCATCTGCTGCTTCTGAACAGCTTCCTGGACGTCGCCTTTCCGCTTCTATCGGAAGCAATATTTTTCAGGTTTACCAAACCTTTTAGACTCTCGAATATTTTTGAACCGAACCTGCCGTTACAGTTACATTCAGAGTATATTTCCTATGCATGGAAAATCCGACATTTTAAGCCATTGTCGTTTTAGTTTCATTACATTTTATAATGGACATGAATCGTGTTTTATATTTTACAAGCAGCATTAATTAATGGTCATATACGACGAGTTAGCAATAAACATTGCGCATTGTTAAAAAATCTCATGTGTGAAATTTTTTTAAACAGCAAACCTCCTTTACTTTAAGTATAAAACTTAAAGAAGATGTTATAATCACTGAGCTTAGTTCCAGATGGACTATTTTTGTGCATGTTGTTTTCTTACAAAATATGGAAAAGTCATATTAGTTGAGAAGTCATTGTTTTCAAAAATGTAGCTTTTGCTTGCGGTCGAAGACATCCCCATTCAAAAGCCGGCGTTATGATATGACTGAAAGAGCTGGAGTTTGTGCTGCAGGATAATGAATATGAGAACTCGACTTAAGAAATGTTCCTCCTCGGAAAAACAGTCTAGAATTCCTGTGTACTGTACCTGCTCTTCTCGTGATAATTTAGTGACGGGACCTTACTGAACTTTCTTACACCATCTGTCTTGCCCCTTTTAGATATCCACCGGAAACGATGAAAGCACCCTACGTATTATGGACACCAATTCGGAGGACTGCGGCAAGTACGAAGCAGTAGTCCGCAACATTGCCGGCTCAGCACGTGCAACCGTAAACTTTGATCCAAAGTGAGTGCCGTTAAAGTCAGAAACAATCGAAGCTCCCAAGTAGACATTTTACTTATCTCCTCCTGTTGACGCCCTTGTTGTTTTCGCATGCATATCCCGAGCTAGTTCCTGTATCGAAAACAGATGGATTTCCAAATCAGGAGTCAGGCAAGACAGAGTTGAGAGGAACAGCTTTATTGAACAAAAGTAGCCGTACAATAGCTGCTGCAAGCGCCGCGTACAAAAACCAGTCGCATCGGTTAAAAAGTGAGGATTTGTACGAAACTTTTGCTGCGGGATGAGTGCTCTGTCGGCCGCCGCCAATCAAATGAGACGGAACTGCTGATCAGCTTCGAGAATACGCGTGGTAAGTCGACAGCGATCGTGCAAAGGACAATATGACGCGGCGAGCGAGGCTCGGTGAACGAAGGCAGCGTGAGTCAACGCAATTGCGCTGGGTGAAAGACTTTCCCATGCCTTCCCCTCGGTTACCATTATAAATATCTGCCCTCTAGACAGACCGCATGGTGAATGCGTGGCACCCCCACTCTGTTGAATGTGAATGGGGCGTGGTGGCGGCGTCGGTCACATTTTATGCCTGAAGAAAGGGTGCTTTACGGTTTTTTTTTAAATTTCTAGTTGTGCGTTTTTGAAGACCATGACATTTTCATTCATA